AAAGGCAAGGTTGGGCGCGCCAAGAGGTCGGAGTTGCGGAATTTGGTTCTCGGTGGCATCCCAGTCAACTTGCGCGCAAAAGTCTGGTCAGAGTGCTCTGGCGCCACCACGCTTCGTGTTCCCGGATATTATCAAGATATAATCGCTCGACCGGACGAAGATGATGATCCGCTGGCAGTGTCCCAGATCGATATGGACATCAACCGTACTCTGACCGACAACATCTTTTTCCGCAAGGGGCCGGGCGTGTCGAAGCTTAAGGAGGTGCTGAAAGCCTACGCCCGCCGAAACCCAGAGGTCGGCTACTGCCAGGGCATGAATCTCATCGCGGCGAATCTGTTGTTGATAATGCCATCAGCAGAGGACGCGTTTTGGATCCTGACCAGCATCATCGAAAACATCCTGCCGTCCGGATACTACGACCACAGTCTCCTCTCGTCTCGCGCAGACCAGCAGGTGCTGCGCCAGTATGTCGTGGACGTGCTCCCCAAACTGTCGCAACACCTGGACGATCTCAGCATCGAACTCGAAGCGCTCACCTTCCAGTGGTTCCTCAGCGTCTTTACCGACTGCCTTTGCGCCGAGGCTTTGTTCCGGGTCTGGGATGTGGTGCTTTGCATGAACGACGGAAGCACTTTTCTGTTCCAGGTGGCGTTGGCGCTGCTCAAGCTGAACGAGACGCAGCTTCTGCAGTGCGACACGCCGGCAAGCGTGTACACTTACATTAACCGCCAGATGACCAACCACGCCATCAGTATCGATAACATGATCAAGGCATCTGATGCTCTGAGGAAGCTGGTGAAGCGCGAGGACGTGGAGGCGCGTCGCGACAAGGCGATCCAGGCGGAGAAAGATGCTGTAAGGCTGAGAAACGAGATGAACGCGGCTAAGAAGGCGAACAAGGCGAACGGGAATGGGAACGGCGTCGGCGCTGGACAAGAGGAGAATGAGGCAGCTGAGCCGGATTTGGATGTCCGTGAGCCCATGCCGATTGAGCAAGACGTGCAGACATGAGAGATGGAGAGCAGCGGTGATGCATTTCAGGTGTTTGAATGGACGTCCATGATACCCCCTCTGTCCGATTGGGAAGACACACAAAAATAGCGTCTTTTTTTTTTTTTTTGACCACACAATACACGATCTCTTGAGCAATGCAGGCTGGATATTAGTGATATACAGTGATGTATGCGTTTCATTTTCATGCAGTATTCGTGACTATTGTACTCGCCTTCTACAACTACTCGTCTCCTACAACTTGGCCTTACCAGCCTTCCACTCCTGCACAAACCTCTTCCCCTCCGCAACCCTCGCCTTCTCCAACTCCTCCCTCTGATCCCAAATCTTCTCCTCGCTCTCATAATTCTCTTTGCTGAGCACGTACGCGCTCTCCTTCCACATCTCCATCTTGAGCACGGCGTACACCCCGCTCTTGCCCCTCTCCGTCAACTTCCTCTCCGCGATCAACTTCAGCGCCTCGTCGAGCCCGCCCAGCGCGTCGACGAGACCCGCCTCGAGGGCCGCGGGGCCGGGGAACCGTTTTGCTTCGAGGACGATGTCCTGGTAGATCTTGGGGGAAGCGCATTTGATCCGGAAGATGGCGGACATGGGCGGCTTCAGCGGTGCCCCGAACTCGAGCTCGTTCATGCAGAGGAAACCCTTTTGCGGGTTCATGACGCGGTAGTCGTGGTGCATCGCCGTCATGAAGCCGCCCGCGAAGGCGTGGCCTGGGATCAGGGCGACGGTGGGCATCGGGTAGGTTAGCAGGCGTTTGAAGAGGGCATACAAGGTGTCTGGGAAGAAGCGCGGGGTTGCGAAGGCGTGTTCGAGGTCGAGACCGTTGGAGTAGAATTTGGGTATGGCGGAGGTCGTGACGAGGACGCCGGGCGGGTGGGCGAATTCGATTATGTCGAGGGCGGCGAGGAGGGCTTTGCAGAAGGGGGTTGTGAGGCGGTTGTCGGGGGGCGAGGACCAGGTTAGGAGGTAGACTAGGGGTGCTGGGGTTGTGCAGACTATGGTACCGCCTTCGTGGGAGTCGAGTTTGGGGATGGGGATTGTGAAGAGGGGGGTTTGGGAGGTCATGATTGTGAGGGTTGTGATGGTGATGTTGAGAGTTGTTGATGATATGAGACGAGGTTGAGGTTCGGTGACGGGGGGTTATGTTGTTTCGATACGAGGGAGCTTGAGGACAGATCGGGCAGGCGATGACCGAAAAGACTTTCAAACTTGTATGAGAATTATATGCAAGTATTGTAGTCTTGATGATCAAGCTATAATATGAGAATGGATGAGAGAGTAGCGATGGCTCAAGGTTACAAAGGCTTGAAGTTGAAGGGATCGACGGATAGTCTAAGTAAGCGCTGCTGACCTCGGTTCGGCAAATGGCACTAAGGAAGAGCATGCCTCAGATTGCAGACATGATTAGAAAATCCAACGTGCGGCGCGCAGTTCGGCTGACACCCTTCCCCGAATCCCCAAATCTACAACCTTGACCCAAAGTACCTACCTCATGGCAAGCTGGCTATTATTCCGATGCACCAGTAGCGGTCATCCAATCACATAGCTTGTCATCTTGTCTCTTTCCCTGCATTTGAGATGGATGGAATTTTTTTTCCGAGTTCCCTTATGTTCATGGGGAAATTTATGAGGCTACGTACCTTGGAAAGGTTAATGGGCTTTCACATGTGAAGTAAGAGCGGCCCCAAAAGGAAGACCGCCAAGCTCCTGCGGCTTCTGATGCACCCCAGAAATCGTCCTGGCCATCCACAACTCGCTTACCTTAGCCAAGTGGATCTTTTGATACCCCTGCAAGACTACTCCTTACGTAAGGCCGCATCCCACTTTACAACACCCAATCAACACCCGCCATTGACAGAGCTACCCCAATTCCAACTGCCCTGCTGGCCGCTGTCGCGTCGTAACTCCCACTGAGTGGTCCCCGCTGGCTCCAGTGTCAGGTCAGGTCGTCCACGTCTCACAAGTCGCACTTCTGTCCTCTTGCAGGAAAGAAAGCCAGAGACAACAAAAAAGATTGGGAATTTCTCCCCTTATTCACACCCCCGAATACCTGCCAAAGACGATTTACGGCCATGGCGGAGAAAGACGACGATCAGAGGACCGTCGTCTTCTTTCACCCGGACCTTGGCATCGGTGGTGCTGAGCGTCTCGTTGTCGATGCCGCTGTCGGCTTGCAGAATCGAGGCCACAAGGTGGTCATCTTTACCAGCCATTGCGACAAGAGCCACTGCTTTGAAGAAGCTCGAGATGGTACGCCTGCAGTCCTTTTTCTCCTTTGATACATGACCTCGTATTGGAATGAGCATACCCTAACTTGTCTCTCTACCAGGAACCCTCGACGTCCGCGTCCGCGGCAACTGGATCGTCCCTCCCTCCATCCTCGGGCGCCTCACGATCCTCTGCGCCATCCTGCGCCAGCTCCACCTCCTCGTCCAGATCTACGCCACTCGCGAACTCCAGTCCCTGAACCCAGACACCTTCTTCGTCGACCAGCTCAGCGCGGGCCTGCCGCTGCTGCAGTACCTCGCCCCCAAGGCGCCCATCCTCTTCTACTGCCACTTCCCCGACATGTACCTCGCCCTCGGCCGCGAAAAGTGGTGGAAGCGCCTCTACCGCGTGCCCTTTGACTGGGTCGAGGAGTGGAGCATGGGCTTCGCCGACGAGATCGCCGTCAACTCGGGCTTCACAAAGGGCATGGCCACGGGCGCGTGGCCGAAGCTCGCCAAGCGCAAGAACTTCAAGGTCGTGTACCCCTGCGTCGACATTGCGCCCAAAAAGGAGAGCGAGAAGAAGGCGATAGGAAACGGCAACAACGAGGAAGAGGCCATTTGGACGGACAGGAACATCATACTGAGCATCAACCGCTTCGAGAGGAAGAAGGACATTGCGCTCGCCGTCAAGGCTTTCGCCGCGCTGCCTGCGGACAAGAGAAAGGGCGTCCGGCTGGTCCTCGCTGGCGGATACGACCCGCGTAGCATCGAGAATTGCCAGTACCACAAGGAGCTTGAGAAGCTCGCCGCGTCGCTCGAGTTGGAGACGTTCACGGCCAAGAACATCATCACCGCGCTGTCTGCGCCCGAGCACATCCCGGTGCTGTTCCTCCTCTCCATTCCGTCGAGCCTCAAAGACTCGCTCCTCCGATCGGCCAAGCTCCTCGTTTATACGCCCTCCAACGAGCATTTCGGTATCGTGCCCCTCGAGGCCATGTTGGCGGGCGTGCCCGTCCTCGCGGCAAACACGGGTGGGCCCAAGGAGACGGTCATGGACGGTGTGACGGGTTGGCTGCGGGCGCCGGACGAGGTGCTGGAGTGGACCGTGGTCATGGATAAGGTGCTCAACAGCCTCAGCCGGGGCGATTTGGAAAAGATGGGCAAGGCGGGCGTGCAGAGGGTGCGCACTGGGTTCGGGCAGGAGAAGATGGCGGAGCGGATCGAGAGGCTGCAGGACGAGATGTTGGCGGAGCCCAAGATGCCGCCCCTGCTGAACGCCGTGCTCAACTTTTTGGGCATTGTCGTGTTTTTCGGCTTGGGACTGGTCACGTCGCAGATGTTTGTCAATGCGAAGCAGAGGAGAGCTTGAGGGTAACGAGTGATCACGACGAGCTATGGCTGTTGTTTTTGTTATGAAAGGGACCTTGGCTGTACGATACTCGAGTTGTCGAATACTGATAGATTTTGTTCTCCTGGCAAAAACAATACCCCTTCGAATCTGGCTCCATGTTTCCATCTATTCGTGCTACATCTATCTACTCGCGCTACTGTGCAGACCTGAGTACTTCATCTTCCCCACATGGTGCATGGTGCGAGTGAGTTTGGAATGTGATGCTAGACACTCGAATTGACCCCCACGTAGCGGGGTAAACACTGATGGCACCTAGCGGAGCGTAAGGTAACTTCCTCTCCGAGACTGGAATCGGATGTCTTACCTCACCTTGATTCACTTCATACTAGCTACAAATACACCAGCACACTTCCACACCCTCGCAAATGTCACTCGACACGGATTCGGCGCCAGAACTAGACGCGGCCATGACGGGCCGAAAAGCCCTCGTTGACTTCTTTTGCCGGAGCCTGACGGCGTTCCAATCTTCAAAGGATGCGTTTCGCGTTATTTGCACGCTTCCTCACCGAAAAACCCCCCAGGACGCCAGCGGAGAGGTTAGCATAACGACACTGGCGCCGGCGCCGCGGAGGCCGGATTTCAACGCGAAGAAGACAAGGCCGCCGGTGAAGAGTCTTGTCGTGCTGGATTCCTCGTTTAACCCGCCTACGCTTGCGCATTTACGGATGGCGGCGTCTGCGGCGAGAGACTTGCAGAAGAGGAAGGCTACGGCGACGAGGGGCGATGGAGCTGGAGAATCGTCATCAGGTGCGGTTGGGGGTTCGGGTCAGGGAGGAGCGGTGAGGTTGTTGCTTCTCTTGGCTGTGAATAACGCAGACAAGAAGCCTAAGCCTGCGGCGTTCGAGGTGAGGTTGGGGATGATGTATGCGTTTGCCGAGGATTTGAGAGACGAGGTGCGGCGCAGGGGGGTAGATGAGGCCGAGGAGGAGGAGGAGGAGGATGTTGAGGTCGACTTGGGACTGACGACGATGCCATATTTTCACGATAAGAGCCAGGCTATCTCGGACACGGGGTTTTATGCGCAAGGGGACGGAGGAGGGGAGCCGGAGCAGGTGTATTTGGCGGGATATGATACGCTCATCCGGATCTTTAACCCAAAGTACTATAATGCTTCTTCTTCTTCTTCGTCATCGGGAGAAACAGCAGCGGCGGAGGCAGAGGCGCCGATTCGAAGGGCACTGGATCCGTTCTTGAACAGGTCTAGGTTGCGCATTACGATGAGAACAGACGATGAATGGGGTGGTGAGGGGGAGCAGGTTGCCTACCTCGAGAGTTTGAGGGACGGAGGGCTGGAGGATGTTGGAGGGCGAGGGACGTGGGCGGAGAGGGTTGAGATGGTTAGGGGTAGGTATGAGGGGGATGAGGTTGTTAGTAGTACCAAGGTGCGGGAGGCTGCTTCTAAGAAAGATGAGGAGATTTTGGGGCGGTTGCTTAGTAGGAGGGTGAAGGAGTGGGTGCTTGGCGAGGGGTTGTATCGTGAGTGAGTGCGATGGTGAAGTTTGATATCAGGGGGATGTTGAGTTTCTGAGATCAGGAATCGGGTGGTGAGGGCTTCGTTTGCTGCTTGATATATACAGGCTTCTAAGGAAGAGATTGTTGGCCTCTGACAAAATCGAGGATATGCGGCAAGTTCGCTGAGACGTCGTTTTGACCGGCGAATGGGTATACAGGCTCAACAAGATCCTCATAGAAATCAAGGGACCGAAGAACCTCATCAGCTTTCAAACGTCAGAAGGCAGTCTAGGAGCGCAGCTTCTCGGGATGGCTGTTATGACTGCCATTGAATGCCTCGACCAAACTATGCAAGCTTTACTTCTCAACTTGATAGCTGGGAGTGTTTGCCTCCTTCATCCCAGATGAGTGGCCGATCGCGATACATCTTGACACTCTGCCTCAGAGGTATATCCAGATTTTCACAATATGGTTTATCCGGGAGCTTTTGACGCAAAAAAGGGCATCTCCTACCCCAAAGCTGCCCTCATTGAGCCCTTTCCCCCCTCGCATTTGGCGCTACCCTCAACCGCCAGACAGCTTCTCGCTACATCAAATCGGTATGTGAAGAAGAGAAGTTTTCCAACGCCTTGATGCCTGATCCACCAATATCTTTCCAGGCATCTTTTGCTCTTTCGAACCCGCTCTTTCCATCTTCACGATGCAGATTTTTACATTTCCAGCCTCGGTACGTACTCGCCCATGTCCATTTTTCTCCAGCCCGAATTTTCATTGGCCGGCCCCTTACTGATTTGTCCCCCACCAAAGACCCACTATTGGGCCTCTCCAACATCTATAAAACGTCGCCTCCCGACCGCAGCTCTTAGGATTTTCTCTCCTCCTTTTTTCTTCATGTCGACAATACTTCAGAGAATCATTTCTATAGTATTCGACCTACTCTTGGTTCCCTAAAGGAGCTACAGATCCCACCCTGGTTGATGATTGATATCCTCGACGCCCTAGAGTGAAGAACTCTGGTTGCCCTCGCACTTTCCGCAAGGAAAGCGGCACTTATCCTTTTGGATGGCGCTGTATAGAGGGCGGTGATGATCTCGTCCCCTTTCGCGGTCTTGCCTTCGGGCGCGTGGAAGGGGTGGGTGTCGATGGACGTCTGACAGGCTCTGACTCTTTTTTCGTTGCGCGCTGGAGCTCGTTTCTCTGGGCGCGAGGAAGAAAACGCTTCATAGAATGGCAGTGATGCACACCTTGACTACACTCCGAGATACACCAATGCTCTCCCATGGTCTTTCTCTATTTTGGTTCAAGGAAGATTGATTTTTTTAGTCCAATACTCACCGCGGCATCCATTACACCGTGGACGTCGAGGTCCACAAACGTGGCTAACATTTTTCTGCCAAATGTGATTTTTCCTCTACAATTGTATCCGAGTTTGCCTTTTCCATTTCTTCCATCGTTGCAGATTATGAGCCGTTGGACTTCAATGCGTTGAAGCTCGGCTAACCAATGGTTAGCCACACAGCTTCAAGTTGACTCTACGACGACCTGGGGAAAAATGTCTTGGGCGAGTTTTGATTGGTCAATTCGATCTTCAGTCGATGCTGTAACTGGGCACTTGGAACTGGGAGCATTCTTGTAATGTCGTGGAATACGGACATGGAATGCCTGGGACCGTGTACCAGTGATGTGCTATTTTTATCTATCAGATCTAAAGCTTGAATATCACTTCACATCTGCTCTTTTATGACGATCCTAGAGCTACGTGAGTCCTGTTTAATACGACCTGCCAGATGCATAATTCTGAGGCCGAGCAGACTCGTAATACCCATACGCCAAATCTCCGGCATCGTGCTCCTCCCTTCGGGGACCGGGAGCATATGCCTCAAACGATCGCGGCGTCCGCGGCATCTCGGCGTACGTCTCTGGCGTCGGGGGCCCAGTGATCCCCTCGCCCGCGTACCATCCATTCCCGCTCGGGTACGGCGGTGCGCCGCCGCCGAGGTTCCCCTCGCTGGCGGACCTGAGCTGGCCCTCGCTCGCAGATCTAAGCTGTGCCACGTTTGCCCCCTCCCTCGAGACCAGGCCCCAGCCCGCGGGTGCCGCAGGTGGTCTCAGGAACCCTTGGGCTGGCACGGGTGAAGGTGCTGAAGCAGCAGCAGCAGCAGCAGCAGCTCCCGTCGGTCGACCACCACCGCCTGCCGCTGATACGTCAAAGCAAGCGGCGTGCACGAGGACGAGACCGGCGACCTTGACGAGGGTGAAGACGACGCCGAACAGCGAGGAAAAGGCCCAGAGGCCGACAATGGCGGCCAGGGCGGCGAAGCCGGACATGATGCTCTGGGTGGAGGCGTACTTCCTCACGCCGAGGTCGCGGGCGAGGTCGCGGCCGTTGTAGGACTGGATGAAGAAGCCGAATTTGACGACGCCGAAGAGGGCGGCGAGCACGAGCCAGTGGGTCGCCAGGAGGGTGCCGACGAGGAGGATGAGGTAGACGTTACTGTGGCGGGGCAGATTCGTGGCGAGGCGGTCGTGGAGGACGGCCTGGGAGGGGGGCGGGTGGAGGTTCTTTGGGTTGATGAGGTTCGTCACGGGGGTGTCGGGGAGGGGGCCTAGTTCAAAGGTTGACGTGGAGAGGTTCGGGATGGATTGGAAGGCGTGGAAGGCGTTTTGGAGGTTGCTGAACATGGCTGCTGGTGTGAAGGAGGCCGCGTTGCTGTTTGAGCTCACGACGGCGCCTTTGGTAGTTGGCGGGGGTTCGTTTGACGATGAGGAGCTGCCGCTTCCGCTTCCGCCGCCGCTGCGGCGCTTCTTGCGGTGCTTTGTGTCGCGGGGAGGTCTGGTGTCACGGGAGCGGGATCGTGAGCGCTGTCTGGCGGAGGAGGAAGAGTCGTGACCTCTGGCGGTCGGTCTGAGAGAATACTCAGCGACGTCCCATCTCGAGTCCCGGGCGGATGAGGTTGGGTAGCCATAGGGCTCGCGATATCCAGAGTCCCTTGTGGGAGCATCTGAGTAGGAGGATCTCGCCATGGTCAGGAGGCAAAACTGAGTGAGAAGCTTGTGGGTTGAGGCGTAAGTAAGGCGTGGAGGGCTGAGGAATGAAGGCAGGGTCTGAGAAATGAAGAACTGCCGGACGATCAAATTCCAACGCAAAAATACAGGTTGCGGACAGGAACTCACTCGGTCGAGTATGAACGAGGGAAGAAAAAGCTGGGAGAGACAAAGACGGTGTTCAGTCGGTCAGCGAATTCCTGTGTCTTTTTTGCCCGTCGGATGGATGCAGCTGCAGTTGTACCCGACCCTGGCGGCGATTGGCGGGGGATGTTGCGGTGGAGCCGCTTCCGGATAGCCGCTCCCAAGAACCAAAGACTTGGCGATCTACAACTTCAACTTGTCACCTTTTTACCGGTACTACTAATATCTGGAATTGCAGTTGCAAGAGCAGAGATTTCCCTTGGGGACCTCGGCGCTGCGTCGAAAACCCCTCAAGCTTCAGCTCTCGTGTCAAACCTGGGACGGCCCGTTAGCTCCAAGGGGGCAAGAGGGGCAGCTCCTCCAGGTGCGTCATCACGGTCTCCCCAGCCACTTTTGGAAGAATTCCAGAAACATTCCAAAACATACGAAACTTTGCTCCTAGAACCATGGGGGCCATTCCAACAACGTCCAATTAATTGATGTGTATTCCATGCTGGCAGCGGCCAGCCATGCTCCGGTACGGAGCCCTCTGAGGGAGTATCGGATTCTAACCTTCAACGGCTATGGACAGGGACGCCCCGTTTATCACCCTCGGCCCTGGTCAACTCGCCCTACTTGAGCTTTAGGGATAAACACCTTTGCCTGGCTCGTTCTGGAAAAATGAAGGCGACAAAGCAAACGATGGCTCGACCTTTTGCATCTGTTGGACGCTATCCCTGATGATGTCGTACCCAAAGTTATACGCAAAGAACTCTTCCGGGTTTTCTGCAACATGTTCTGTCAGCGGCTCCTCCACATAAGCACCCTTACTACTAAAAGATTTCACGGAGCTTGCACTTACTGGGCACCTTGTCCGCGGGAATGAACTTGGCAGCCTCTTCTCGGATCAACTCGGGCTCTTCCTGGCCAGCGTTGCTGAAAATCTGCATTACGCTGGCACGGTTCCTCCGAATGCTCTCGTACACTCGCAGACGAGTCTCGACGTCTTTGACCTCGGCGCCAGCCAGCGCGATGCCGAGAGCCACGCCGTCTTCGATACCCTGCGCACCGCCTTGGCCTTGGTCTAATATGGTTTATCTATCAGCAATTGGCAGACTAGCAAGAGGGTTTGACCGGATGTGCTGTTGTTGGAACTCACGGGGTAACATGGGATGCGCGGCATCACCAGCCAGCGTCAACTTCCCCTTGGTCCAGGTAGGGATTGGGGCTCTGTAGAGGAGTGCCCATTGCTTCACCTCGGTAGCCTTGCTATGGGCGGTGTGAGTCTTGGTCGTGTTCCCACAGAGTGAGGGCACTTACTCGAGAATGGCCAAGACGCTTGGGTGGAAGTCGGAGTATCTTTCAAGCAGCTTCTCTTTGCTTACTGAGGCGTGCCAGTCCTCCTTCTTGGTACTCTCAATGTCGTCGTTGTTGAAGATGGCCACAAAGTTGTGGATCTCATTGCTGCTTGAGTTAGCACACAGGCGCGCAACATATGCTTGCTACTCATGTCACAACTGTTATAGAGATTGCACTTACTTTCGACAAGGATACGAGACTAGACGCTTCTTGTCTCCAACCAGGAACTTCATCCGCCCGTCGTCGCCTTCGTTCCAGAAGCGCGTGACCGGATCCGCCTCAACATCGGCAGCCGGTATGAGGAAACGGAAGCAAAAATTGTAGTGTCCTTGAGGCACCGCCGGGTTGGAGCGGCCGAGAATCGCTTTGACTCCTATGGTGTGGACGCCATCTGCCGCAATCACCACGTCGCCTGTGACTTTTTCGCCCGAAGCCAATGTTATTGAAGCCTCCTCGGGATCCTAAAGATGTGTTAGCCAAACTCTATGAAGGCAATGTGGACAGTTGACACTCACATATGCCACAATCTCGCTCTTCAAATGGACAGTAGCAGGCCGACCTAATCCAGTCCTCGAATTTTCATGTCCATTGACACCATTCGTCTCGGTCCCATTAGACTCCTCAACGCCGTTGCCATTAGCATGACCATTCACACCACCCTCAGGTTCCGTCGCCAACCTCTTGAGCTCCTCATGCAAATCGACGCGGTGCGCAAAGTACCACGGCGCGCCGTACCGCTCCTCAATGTAATCCTCCGTGCCGACGTGGAACTTCTCCAGCGTGTCACCCTTTGCGCGGAAGCTGCACTTGACGAGGACGAACTTGGCCTTGACGGGGTCGAGGCCCCAGGCGAGCAGAGCGCGCGCGGCGTTGGGACACACGTGGATCGCGGCGCCGATCTCGTTGTTGAGCGCGGACCGCTCGTAGACGTGGACCTCGTGGCCGGCGCGGCGGAGACCTACGGCTGCGGAGAGGCCTGCGATGCCGCCGCCTGCGATGAGGATCTTGAGGGGTGCCATTGGCGTGAGAGGGAAAGCAACTTTTGGAGCACTCTGTGGCTGGTTTCCGAGTAAGCAGGAACACTGGGTTACCGCTCACCGGGTAAGAGATGGTCACACAGACGTTTGGTGACTTAGCAAAGATTGTCTCTAGATGATGGGTGAATGTAAAACGAAACGGTTCGTCCGAGCAGGAGAGGGGAGTGAGTTGCCTACGGCGCGTCTACGTCTCGACCGCAGGCGAGAAATGCTGAGGTTGGATAATGGACCTTGGCTTTGGCCCCTTGGGTCCACGCACTAGATGATGCGGGCCGGAGTTAGCTTCGCAGAGAACATGACCCTACGGATACTCGGTTCTGATTCTCCAGAGTCCGAAGTGTCTGTTGTGGTAGTTTGGACTCCGTTCGGATCACGTTTCCATTTACAGATGACGATGCATCTCTTGACGGGGGCAGCGGTCCAACGTACCCATTCTCTCCCAACGGAGCTCGGTCAAAAACACCAGATCCATGGTCCAGAGACGTCTCGATCGTGCCAGATGAAGGGTAACCCATGAAGTTCTTGACTGGGAATTTGGGAATAGGTCGGACGATGGGCCAGGGCAAAGGGACCGGTCGAACAGGCCCCAGTGAACAAGCAGCTGGTCCGAGTCTGTGCCGCAATCGGCGGGGCAAGAGTTACATTAGCAATGGAACGTCGACACGTACGCTCCTGGCATGGTACATATGGACTTGGGAAATGGTGGGTGGGTGATATTCTCAATGGTCATATGCGTACATAGAACAGTATCTTTGGAGCCATTGACTGCGTAGAAACTAGTGTGGAGCGGTACTTTTGGCACAGTTGGTTGGAAGTCTCGCAGACAAGGAGGTTGTCTCCCAGGGGTCTTAATCGACAGGGAATGATCCGGGAACAGGGACCATCTGCTCCGCTGAAGAGGGCGGCCAGGGTTCATGGGTTACAGCACCGGGTATCGTTTTGGTAGCTTCCGGGTTTTGTGAGAACTGAAACCCTTGCGATTTATAGCTGGGTTGGAGGACGGTGTCATTGGGTCCCCTGTTCTGGGCTACCGCATGAGCTCTAACCTCCGATGTAGAGCAAAATGTAACAACGGACGAGATGAGAGAAGACTTGAAGATTTCGCCAGTCATCGTACGGGGTCGAGAAACCCTTGTTCTTCGAAGACTCTAGTTGGTCAAGGGTGTTGAGGATGGACGGGACGTGGGAGAGGAATGTCTTTGATAATGAAGGACACTCACGGAGAGTACATCCTGTGTCTTTTGGGAAGACTTTCCGCTTTGATATTCGCGTTCTTCCGCAGCTTCTTTTCTGTTTCCAGCCATCCATTCATTCATGAGTGTGTAAGTCGCTGCCAGCATCATAGCCCGCCACGATGTCAATCGCGAAGGATGTCATCTCGGACAATGTCCAGGAAACCGGATCGATGAGCGAAGCAAAGGGCCTGGCAGCTCCTCCGAGCAGTCGTGATGAACCCAAAGAGAGTATCGAAGGCCCCGATGAGCCGGTCCCTCACTTGCACGCAAAGACGTTCCTCACAGTCTTTGCCGTTTGCTTCATCTATTTTGCTCAACTCATCAACGTTGTCGGCGCCGGAGCTGTAAGTAGTCCACCATGATTCTGCCAAGGCTACCTACTAGAGTCGACTGTGTCTAACCCGCAGTCTTTCAATTAGCAAACCCAAAACATCGCAGCCGTGCTGGGGGAGAGCGACAAGAGCGTCTGGCTAACCTCCACAATCGCCATCATGACAGTCGTTCTATCCCCCATCGTCTCCCAAGCCGCAGATTACTGGGGCCGCCGCTGGTTCCTCATCGGCCTCACGGGCTGCGGCGTCGTGGGCTCTATCGTTGTCGCTCGGGCCTCCACGATGGGCATGGCCATCGCCGGCTTCACCATCACGGGCTGCTCCTACGGCGCCCAGCCTCTCCTTCACGCCGTCGCCTCCGAGGTCCTGCCCCGACGCTACCGCCCTTGGGCGCAGGCGGCCGATAACCTCTCAGCCGCGATGGGAGGCCTGGTGGCGCTCCTGGCCGGCGGCGCGCTCACGCGCAACGGCAACGCCGCGGGCGTGAGGAATTACTGGTACATGGCGACGGCCATCTACTTTGTCGCCACGGCCCTCGTTCTGGCGCTGTATAACCCGCCAAAGACGACGAACGAGACGCGCTTCAGTGTCTCTGAGAAGCTCGCGAAGCTCGACTGGGTTGGATACGCCCTCCTGTCCTCGGGCCTGGTGCTCTTCTGCATGGGCCTGTCGTGGTCTCAGAACCCTTATCCCTGGACCGACGCCCACACTGTCGCGCCGTTCGTTGTCGGTTGCGCTCTCTGCATCGCGTTGGCTGTGTACGAGATGCGCTTCAAGAAGGACGGCATGCTCCACCATGGACTCTTCAGGAACGGACGCAACTTCCCCATCGCGCTGGTCTGCGTCTTTGTTGAGGGTCTCGTCTTCTTCGCGGCAAACAACTACTTTGCTTTCCAGGTCGGCGTGCTCTACGAGACGGACTCGTTGCGCACAGGACTCCGTTATGGTGTTACTATGATCGTCTACGGCGTCTCAGCTGTCTTGGCTGGGTTGTGGTGCTCGACGACTCGCAACGTCCGCTGGCCTACCGTCGTGGCGTTTGTGTCCATGATTATCTTCTTCGTATGCATGGCTACCACGACACCGAGCACCTCTGACCCTGTCTGGGGCTATCCTGTATTCTTGGGTATTGGGTTGGGTATCTGTTTGTGCACACTTGTCACAATTGCACAGTTGTCCACTCCTCCGGAACTCATTGCCATCACCAGTGGTCTGATGATTGGCGTGAGATCTTTGGGCGGATCCATCGGTCTCGCAATCTGTAAGTTCCAGACCTCCTGAACTGGAGCAAATACGATGCAAAGTACTTGCTAACAAGAGCCTTAATAGACAACGCTATCATCACCGATCAGCTCTCGAGGATGCCCACCAACATTGCTGCGGCTGTTCTGCCCCTCGGGCTTCCTCAAACCTCTCTTGGCCAATTCATTGGCCTCCTGGTTGCTCACGATAACGCTGCATTGAGTCAAGTTGAGGGAGTCACGCTGGACGTCATCCAGGCAGGTGCTGGTGCACTTCTGCAGACGTACAGCCTTGGCTTCCGTTATGTTTGGATTGCTGCTGGCTCTATTACCGTTGCTGCTGCCATTGGTGAGTTTCTTTTTACTTACACGCCTTGTTTCTCTCTAGCTAACCAATGGCTGTAGGTGCTTTCTTCCTCGTTGAGCTTGAAAATGAGTTCAACATGCACATCGACGCCCCGGCCGAGAAGGAGGATGATTTGTATTCGAAGTAAACCCAGCATGCTAATATTCAAGCTGATGGCCTGCTCTCAATCCGCATAAAATGAAACTCAAACTTAGCCAGCAACTAGTACCTAGAGAAAATTGTAATAAGAAACTTGCTCTATGAACATAATTAATTCACGTTTGCTGTCGAACATGCTGCCTCAAGAGGTGCGGAGCAAACTCCGGACATTCAGTCACACACCATGTTGAATCAGACTCGAGGAAGCAACTAATAAAATGGTGCATGAGTCTTATGGCGTGCTTCCCGTAAGGGAAGGTACTCCGTTGAGCTATATTGGTGTATGGCCTACGCCATCTCTCGTGCAATATCGGTTACGACTTTCCATAATACCTTGTCGATATCCTGCATCAAATTCTGCAGCGTATTGTTGAAGAGTTGTATTTCCCAGTTCCAACAGCTCAACTCCTGCAAATATCGTACGAGGTCGCATATCCAATGTCAGAGATGTGGATCATACTTGTTTTTCCTGTTGGTAGCAGTTTGAAAACACAGGGACCAGGGCTTCGTTGGTCGTAAACGGACTTTACATCGGGAAGTGGCCCCTCATAGCCGTAGCATTGTGGCTCCTTGTTCACTTCTTGGTGCAAGGGTGGCATGAATCATTGACACAGCCCTTTACGACTACGGATACCTATTCGTACCCAAGCCTCAAGGGGCCAGGCTGTTGGGGTCGTCCGAACAGACATTACCACACAGACGTGAGATCTTGGACTTGCCGACTGATTGGAAATCACATCTGGGTTCGATCACACGGCCGGTGCTCTCAGAGACAAGCGATCAGTGGACGGGCAAGCCCGGGCCAAGTGATGCCGAAGGCAGGGGTTCCTCGCTAGTTGATTTCTAATTTCTGGGGAAGCCCAGAGCTTAAACTCTTGTTTTTCTGCCCAGGCTTGGCCGATCAATAAAGCTGCTTCGACTTCAAGTCTTCAAGTGATGACTATCGCACGTTGGATATCCGTCGAATCATGACTTTGAAGCAAAATCATGTTTGACGGGTACGAAAATGTGTATGTAGAAGGTGTGGCATTCGTGATTCGGGAAATGAATCTCTTTCTGGCCAAAGAAGTAGGTGGAGGGCGCTGCAGATTCAGACTGGGGTTACATTCCAGCCAGTGGGTATTTTGGTCGACCCTGGTTGGGATCTTATGAAGTTCGCGAAGACACCAACCGAGTTGCGAAATTCACCCCCTGCTTCTCTTGACCGTGCTCACACTCGCTTGTACAACCTGTCATGAACAACAAACGCTCAAATTAGTACAATAGGTGTACTCCGTATACAGTATATTCTGAAGGGATCGTTAAGCCAACCAGCCCCAGGACGAGAAACTTTTTGGACTCATCAGCGTTATCTGTGTTGACTTCTGCGGTCTGGAGCATTGATCTAAACACCGACACAACAAATCTCAATCGGACTTATACCAGGATTCCACATATGATATGGCAAGTAAAGGTCGCACTCACAGAACACGCATGGTTCCATCATGTGTCAGGGTGGCTTCGAGGGATTTTAATTGCTCACTAGAACGGAATCAGCTCCGACACGATATGTAAAGTAGCCTCCACAATGGACGATATGCCCTGAGGGAATTTGAAGGTGAGCCCAACTACTGCCGCCACATGGAGCACTGTGGCGTATCGTCAATATCGACGCCTGGAGGATGCAGTTGATAGGTAAAGTTGGACCTCCATAAAAAGAGTACAAACTCCCTGGATTGAAAGGACGATATATACTAAGGTGTACAAGCTTCTGGGGAACATGAATCCTCTAATTCACATTAAATGGCTCTCTTGGAACAACTTTTTCGTTAAATCTCGGGATGCATGCGCTGAGGTTGGAGGCTCTGAAGGGAAATCAAGTCACTTTACATGGTACTTCCGCCGAAATGTGGCCACTTTCGGCGCCCTCGGGCGACGGTAGATCCGAAGATGCGAGCCCCGGCTGAAGACACCCTCAATAATGGTCGAATGCAAGCATCTACGGATACGCGCAGTTCATAAGGATGGCGGAACTACCACATCAAGATCGAGATGTTCCTGATAGGGTCCGTGTAATACGACTGGCAAGAGTCGGAGGGCAAACCTCGACTGAGAAATTCTTATACACAGGGATGAAGCCGTGAAAGTTGAATAGGGACTGCTGGCACGAAATTCCGATTTCCCAGTATGAGATCGGTAAGTCGGCGGTTACAAGATTTACATCTGGCGGAGGCTGCTAGAGCTTATACAGCGGCATTATAGCCCCTGAATGGTCCAGTTCTGATACTCCAGGTCTCCAATGCCTTCCAGAAGTCCCAGATATCCGGATTTAGAAACCTGATTTTCCTCCTTCCTTCACAAGCTGTCGCACCATCAAAGTCTCTGCTGGTGCCGAACCTATGTATTGGGAAACGGCTGGCCAACTTCCTGGATGCCAAGGTAGGATACGCAGCGGGGGTTTAGGAGTACACCGTGGCTGTACCATCGTTGTACTGCATATACACAGTAGCCATAAGAAGGAATGCTATCCCTTGAGGACCTCGGCACGACTTGTCCTTGATGTAGCATGGGGCAGGCTCATCCTGGCTTCAACCGGAGGACGATCCGGGCCCACATCCCGAACGACTTTCCTCAGGAACGAGACCCCCTTCGAGTGTTGGAATGCCCCCGTTCATGCAGACATCTCAGCCTGGAACAGGACAAGGTAATGGTAATATGACCGTACTGTAATTGCGCAAATAATCGCGTAAAGATGGCTGTATTCAATATGATATCCTTCCCGAATGTCCTTCGCCGGGCGGGCCACCGAAAACTCACAGATTCTTCATACTTCACATCCAAAGTTTCCTTTTTCTCATGTTTCTAACTTTTTACGATCTCTCTGGTATTAATCTATTGCTCCTCTTGGCGCCGTGCGCGTAAGTTCACAACATGGTTGCGGGACCCAATGTCTCTGTCTTCGTCACAAGCATAATTTTCACAACTCTTTCTTTTGTTCTTGTTGGGCTGCGGTTATACACGCGCATCGTGGTGGTGCAGAATGTTGGCATCGATGACTGGTTAATGCCTGCCGCACTGGTAAGCTGAGTGAACCCACTATCAGATGGGAAAAGGAATAAGAAAGCTGAGATCTTTGACTAGGCGGCCTCAATCGGCTTTTGCGTCGTTGTCATGCATCGTGAGTATATTACCCAGATGCATGTTAACGTCGAAGAAATTTTGCTCAAATTAGCGCAGAAATCAAGTATGGCTTGGGCATGCCAATGTCTACCATCGCAGAAGATGACCTGGTCCGATTCTTCCAGGTAAGTTGCGAATGACAGATGAATGTCCTTGGAGAACGACTCTAATCTTCCACATCGGCAGTGTCTCTGGGCGACGATTCCGACCTACAATTTAGCGTTGTTGCTTTGCAAGCTGTCGATTGTCTTTTCATACTTGCGCGTATTCAAGATTCCGACGACACAAAAGATTTGCAAGACTATGCTGGCTGTGCTTGCGGTATACGGTGCCTGGACTGTCTTCGGCTCGATTTTCATGTGCGTTCCCGTGCAAGCCTTCTGGGGCGACGGCACGGGCAAGTGCATGAATCGCTTGGCCTTCTGGTTTTCCAATGCAGCTTTAAACATTCTCTCGGACATTATAATTTGTTGTATTCCCATACCACTCATCAAATCTCTTCAAATATCGAAGAAGCAGAAGATTGCGCTCATCATGGTGTTCGCTGTAGGAGGGTTGTAAGTGTTTTCCCCATCGCAGATTGTCTTGGTCCAAACTAGCATGTGACTGACGAAATTCACATCAGTGTTTGTGTTACTTCTATGATCCGGCTTTACTCTCTTTACGAGATCTCCGTATCTACCGATACATCACGTAAGGCTTCACCTGGAGACGAATCTACAAGTGACAAATAGCAAAGTGGCCTATACTAACAGAACAAAAATAGGAGATGGTGTACATATTGCGACCTGGTCAGGCATAGAGATCAATGTCGCCATAGCCTGCGCCTCTGTTCCTGCTCTGAAGCCTCTCATCGTGAAGGCCTTCCCAAAACTATTGGCGAGTACCCAGCGCAGCGGGTATCGATCTGGCAATGCCTATAGTGGGATGAATGCCGGGGACTCGCATCACATGCAATCAATGCGGAGTCGGAAGGCTACCAAGGCAAATACAGACATCGCCATTGAGACCAAAATCGAGATAGTCAGCCGCAATGGTAGCCAGGCTGACTTGGTACGGCAAGGAGGTGGAAACGGCACCATGGTGGCTGAGTGTTACTCAACAGAAGAGAGACCGCCAGCTCAGGGTCGCGATATGGTTTGACGGGAGTGAATCTGTAGGAACATGTCATCTTAGCGTTAGAGAAAAGCAATGTTGTAGGAGATGCGACGGGACACTGTGGTCATGATGCTAGTGTGAGTTCGAGAGTAGATCCGGCCCCTAACGAGTTGCTATGGATGATGTAACGGAGTAGCAGTCAATTTTCAACGTCTCATGCAATCATCACAGGGTCTGGAAAGTGTGGAATACTTGGAGCGCAACTCGATCTTATGTGGTAGGCCCGATAATAGGGACTTCCCGGAACAAGACTATAAGTAATTTAGCTTCAACTTGACATGCTTACAATATCGACCAGATTGCTTTGATTTTCGGTAACGTCAACAACTTTTCCTCAGAATAAGAATCTCTCCCAATGCCTTTGACAATCTTTCTTGAACAATCTTTCTTAGAAAGTCTCCTGTGCCGGCCTCATATCCAACTCGTGCGTCCAGAGAGAGCTCGGCTGTTGTGACAACCAGAGATACAACTCTCCAACATCTTCCGCGCGCATCCGCTTACCAGTTTTGGTATTTTCATTCTCTTCATCAATAATTCCACCATTGGCGATTGCATGGACCACATGCACACCAAACTTGCTGTGTTCCTTCGCAATAGCCTGCGCCACCATCCTCGCTGCTGCTCTAGAAGCGCCATAAGCGGCGTACTGCTGATTCGTGCGCATGGCTCCCAAGGTTCCCGTGAAGATGATGGTGCCCTTTTTCGCACCCTCGGTGTCGGAGAGTAGAGTCTGCCCTCCGTTCTGTGTGTACATGAGCTTCAACGCTTCTTGCGCAAAGACGACGCCTCCGGTTGCGAAGGTGCTCATGCTGTCGTTGAAATCCTCTGGCGTCTCTTCGAGGAACGGCTTCCTGCTAGAGTTCTTGACGTGGTATATGGCGAGCTTTAGTTTAAGGTCTTTGAAGTCTGCATGATCTGCGATCTGCTGGAAGGTCCGTCGGAGGTTTCCAGGCTCAGTGTCTGTAGGAAAAGGATGGAGAATGCCATTGGAAGACTTGCGTAGATCGGCCGCAAGATTCTGGAGGTTGTCGGGGTTTCTGGCGAGTAGAGCAACTGCCAGGTTGCCATGTTGAGGGCTGGCTAGAATGCGAGCGATCCCTGCACCGGAAGTTGGCCCTGCACCGATAATGATTGCGAGTCCTTTGGGCGCCATCTTGTAGTGAGTCTCAACTTTGTGATGGTGTTTTGAAGTACAGGTTAATGTTCTAATATCTGATTGTGTTCACATGATTATGATTTAGAGCCTCAGTGTGCCTCCCATATATATACTTACATGCACATCTCTTTAGATTGATTCTCGTGGTGTTAGCTGGGCATCCCATGGCAATGGACGTCATTGATCGTCCGATCCGTGCCCCGGCCGTGCCCCGCGCCGACTTACAGTGGAAGGAAAGGACAGAAATTCGGGGATAAGACGTCACGATTTGCTCAAGGAGCCTATGTCCGATTTAGTGGCTGCAAGCTGCTGACCATGCTGACGGAGCATCTCTGGCTGACTAAGTCATGTTTGATGTCTAACATTACCTTAGCTAACAGCCAACTGAATAAGCTGGGTGTGGATTTCTCTATATGTCGATGGCAGGCGATCCAGCCTGGTGGATGCCACTTCGCTACTTTGACCATGAACATACATGTTCTTGTCACTGCAACGTGATGCTAATATGTTTGCGATCTTTAGTTGTTTTTCTGGCGGGCCCTACTCTATCAATACATCTTGAAGATTCAAAAAGCTACAGTGAATATCACTGGTGAGAGCCAACAAAAGAATTACGGCCAGGGGAATCTAGGTATAAGCTAGCTGGAGTATCTTGCAAACTCGAACTTGCATCGCCTCGACCGGAAGACTTACTGAGACGATTTCTGACATTGGCGACGTGAGACTGAGCGCCTTTGGAGGTCAGGTAAGTACTCTGAGGGAAATAGAGTCTTGAAAGAGGCATGAAGCTGTGAGACCAAGTCCGGTTAATTTGCTCGAATTAAGGCGGCCATTCACATCTTTAAGCAGCCGTTGAACGTGGGACAGTCCCCGCGGCGTTGTCGAAGACCTCAAAGTTCGTCATCCAGCCGGGCAATGGCGTCATCTTCACCAATGTAATCGAGAATTGGAGATTTGACGTGATTACGTTCTTTCTCCCATGATTGGGTGTTTTCTTTAGAAAATCGGTACGCAGAATTCCTTCCAGCTCATACATCCCCATACATCTTTGCAATCAAGGCTACGCTCAAGCAAGGTTCACGGAGCTCGGGTGATCTGAACCTCTCTTGGCGCATGTAGCAGCACACGGAGCCAATCAAAAAACTCTTGATCAAGCCTCACGGCATGGGTGCAGAAGACCTCTGAGATTTGAATATTGCGACATCGCGGGGTCGATGATTGATGTTTGTTTGTTGTAGACTAGAGAAGGGTCCTCAGGTGTCGTCCTTTAAATGACTTTGATAGCTTACATTCGTTCACCTCAAATCTGAAACAAAGCTCATATTTTGCATGATTCCCTACGTTAGATGTTGGAACATTCAAGCACAATGACCGCAACAAACCCTTTCTCCCAATTAAATTCCGCAATGCTTTTAGGACAAGCTATAAGTCTATCTGTTTTTATTCTTGCGGGCTATTTACTACAAAACGAAATAAAGAGGTATCGAGGTAGAATCAAACATCTTCCTGGTCCTGTTGGCTGGCCTGTGGTCGGCAACCTTTTCCAGGTAACTGAGCATTTGTATACTACGAGTGTTCGTTGTTGGAGAAAGCGACTAATACGACCCAGAACCAAGACCAAGTACCAGCCGAAACATACCGAGTCTGGGCAAAGGAGTATGGGCCTGCGTTCCAGATACAGCTAGGAAATACAACGGTTGTCGTCGTCAACACTGTAGAGTCTGCCAAACAGCTATTCCTCGGACAACGCCATGCGATGAACTCTCGACCAACATTCTATGTCTTCCATGGAAAGGTCAGCAAAGCCGTTCCAAGTATCGGCACCAGCCCATGGGACGACTCCTGTAAACGTCGCCGCAAGCTCGCAGCTGGGGCATTGAATCGTCCGCGCGTAGAAAGCTACGCATCAATTTTAAACTTGGAGGCACGAGAGTTCCTCAAAGACCTGTACGAAGAATGCCGTGGAGGCCTAGTGGATCTCGACTTCCGTCTAGCTGTCAGGCGCTTCTCCCTCAATCTTAGTCTGACGCTCAACTATGGGACAAGAGCCTCCAATGTCAAGTCTCTAGAGGACGATCCCCTATTTTCTGAGATCATTTATGTCGAATCAGAAATTTCGAAACTTCGCGACACAGGAAAGAACTACACCAACTACATACCCTTGCTGCGATACTGGGAGCCGATTGCGAGTGTGTTAGGTTTGCAGTCCACGCCGAAGAATCACGCAAGGGACATTGGTCGTCGAAGACTGGAATATAACGATGTTCTCCTCAGCCGGCTCAAGGACGAGATTTCTCGGGGCAAAGACAAGCCCTGCATTCAAGGTGCTGTTCTGAAAGACCCCGAGTCGGCCACTCTTACACGAGAGGAGCTGATCAGTGTCAGCCTCAGCATGATGGCAGTAATTTCACCCTATAATGCAACAAGAAACTTATACTGGACTACTACTAACATGTGCCAGGGTGCCGACTCAAACCAGCCTACGTTGGCTTGGGCTATTCTCTTACTTGCACACCGCCCTGATATTCAAGACAAGGCATATGGCGCCATCCAAGATGCTGGCGTTCTACAGCAACCATCCAATACATATGCTTCTACGAAGATTGATTACATAGATGCACTGACAAAAGAGATCTCGAGGTACTTTGTCGTCCTGAAGCTCGCTCTACCAAAGGCAACATACACCGATGTCACTTGGGGATCCGCCACGATTCCGGCCAACACTCTGGTCTTCCTGAATAGCTGGTCCTGCAATAGAGGTGACTTAGTACCGCAACTCAGAGGAAGCGCCAAATTTGACTGACCGCCAAGCCAGATCCTGATCTCTTCAAAGACCCCGAAGTATTCGCCCCTGAGCGTTGGCTTCCAGATGCAACGGACCAATACGCGCATCAATTTGCCTTCGGTATTGGTGGCAGGATGTGTGTAGCGTCTCACCTCGCACACAGCGCCTTGTACACAGCCTTTTTGCACTTGATCGCTCAATTCAAGATCTTGCCTGCAGATGGCAAGGATTCTGTGGAGATTGATCCGATCAAAGGACTTGATGGCCTCTCGTTTGTCGCCAAACCGAAAGGTTTTCAGGCGAAGTTTGTGCCAAGAGATGGAGAACGATTAGACGGTTGGTTGAAGAGCCCCGACGAGTGCTTGTAAAAGTCTCGATGAACTCTTCATTATTGCAAAGAAATAGATCTGGTCAGGGGCGAGGTTGTTTGTGTCCAACCAATTAATACTGCGAGGATATGTTGATTCGCTTTGGGCTTGGAGACTTCAAGTAAATCGTGAGTGGAGGTATCACTTACGGACGTCCGTGTTCCATGAAGTGAAGTAGAATCATAGAGATCAGCGCTGTAGAGGTGGTCTGAAGCAGTTTGTGCGACTTGCCAGCGTGTACTGCCATCCATTCTATCGGCGGGACGCCTGTATACCTGCCTTAACATCTTGTAAAACCAGCGTGAATGGTCCGATGCCTTGAGATGAATAAGGTGTGCCGGGGAATGCACCAAAAAGGACTAGAAGCAAAGCTTGCCGTTTTCCCGACATGCAAAAGCCTAATGTAAGCCCAGCGAGTAGCTGTCCACTAATCAGGGCCGCGCAACATCCGAACATCGGGGATCAGACTGCATGCAGTCAGCAGCCACTCGCAACTGATCTTTATGAAGGATAACGGACTTGATGCAGTATGTCGCCATAGGTCGTGCGGGTCATTCCACCGAACCCCGCCGGACATTACTTAAACCACCGGGATACACTATTCAGATCTTCATGGTCTTCAACCACACAACTCCATGCCTAGTCGCTAACTCACATCAATTCAACGGGAAACGTCTGCCTATCTTTGTTTCTCAAGATGGCTTCTCCAAACCTCAACGCTGCCGACCTTTTCGGTGTCAAGGGCCTCATCGTCGTAGTCACGGGTGGGGGAACTGGTACGTCATTAATCAATCATAGCAGCAACCCTCAACACTCGCTCAAGATTCAAACTAGGCATCGGCCTCATGATTTCACAGGGCCTCGAGGCGAATGGGGCTATCGTGTACATCATCGGTCGACGGAAAGAGGCCTTGGACCAGGCGGCAAAGACAGCTGTGAGTTTCTATGAGAGCGTTGAGCCTAGCTATCATAGGTTCTTGGAGCGCCCAGCCAAAGCTATCACTCAAGCCCAGTTGTGTACGGCATCCACCTTCAAGAATTATCAAGACTGATGTTGGCGCCCCAAATGTGAATAGAAAAACGGCAACATTCGCACCATCCAAGGTGACATCACTTCAAAGAGCGACCTTGAGCGAGCGGTCGCAGAGATCAAAGAGGCCCACGGGTACGTCAACGTCGTCATCGCCAATTCAGGAATCGGCGGACCAGCTCTCAAAGGCTTGCCTCCCAACCCGACGATTGCTCAGTATCGCGACTTCGTCTTCGGCTGGGAACAGAAGGACTTCACGGAGACCTTTGCTGTGAATGCCACCGGCGTGTTCTTCACGGTCGCAGCATTCCTGGAACTTCTCGACGAGGGTAACAAGCGCAACAACTTCAAGCAAAGGAGCCAAGTCATTGCGACTAGTAGCATTGGCGCGTACAACCGTAACCCGATGGGCTTCGCCTACGGAGCCTCGAAGGCAGCTGTGGTCCATATGTTCAAGCAACTGTAGGCAGTTACGAACGAGTTTTAAGAGCCAGCGTCTTTACTAACATCTACCCAGGAGCACCACACTGGTTCCATTCAACATCCGTGCCAACGTCATTGCGCCTGGATGTAAGTTTACTTCCTTTCGAGAACACTCAGAATTTTCATTTTGGATTCAAATTTCCTGAGTTAAGCTCTCAAAATATCTAATGATTTCAACCTCTAGTCTACCCGAGTGAGATGACAACAGCAACAGTCGAGGCGCACAAGGAGGGTTGGCCCAAGACTACCATTCCGGAAGAGAGGGCGGGAGATGTAGAAGATATGGCGGGCGCAGTATTGTTCTTGGTCAGCAGGGCAGGCGCATACACAAACGGCAATGTGCTCGTCACAGATGGTGGAAGGCTTGGAATCGTGCCGTCTAGCTACTGAGCAACTTCAAGTCATAGGTATGAATAATCGAGAGATGGTAATCAAGAGTTATAACCTGACCTCGACTCTTCATCATTTCGGCGAGACACCTGAGGTCGAAACTTGTATTGTATAAACCAGATTGAAGCTTGTTGACGATTAAGTTGTGGTACTATTGCCTCGGCAGTGGATAAGCGGTAGCAGAGCTTTAGGAAAACTTCAAAAACACATATACTTCGAGCTCAGGGATGCGGGAAAGTTTATTCTATCGTCCGTGAGACAGGTCTACGCTATGAAGGGACACTCATCACTCTATCTTCTCTGCTCTTCAAGATACCATGGACGACAGGGATCGTGAATCATTGAAAAAGAAGTCTTGGATGTAACAGTTGACCAGCCTAATAAGTCTCATGTTTTCGACGGTTCGTATTCGTGACACTCGGAAAAGCTTTCACAAGCGAAACCCAGAGAAAACGGCACTGAGAAATGCGGAGATCATAGCGGGCTCCCCCACTACTCCTGTACATCTGAACCGGGGTGATGTCACCCTAAAGTGCCGCAAACACATGGGTACAAGGGATGTAGCCAACCAGAACTGAGTAGTTTTGCGATCAACGCCTCCAAGTACCGGGAAGGAGCAATTATCCATCCGGCATCTTCCCGCTATTCTAGGTTCTGACTGGAGTTCTTGGCTTCGGCTGGACAACCTTCCCACAATGTGCCAATCTACGCGAGCCACTAAGACATGAGATTGGCTACATTCTTCACCCATTTGGGGCGGACAACCTCGAACTCACAGTGACAAACCAATGAAAGACCAACAAAGAAGTAGGCATCATGAGGGAGCTGAACATCGGTTGTGGACCACCTCTCCCCAATGTTTGTGTCTTACCCTAGCCAAGTACGTGCTGGAGGCAAGCGAGCAAACGAATCGGCGCGCTCCTACAGGCTACTGGTAAGTCGAGGCATCATAGCGCTGGTCGCGCTGGCGGCCACTGGGTTCCAGACTGAAAGGGTGGACTGCTCATCCATGCTCCTGCTGAAACGGAATCTACACATCCGATGCAGGCTGGTATGAGAACCACCGCCCTTTATATCCATGACCACACCCAGTTGCCAATTTTCAGCCGCCTCTGGGGGTCTGCATCCGAACTTACTTTGACTTTCTGGCACAGATTCGCTTGGGAATAGAGAGTGATATCTCATCATGTTAAGTCCTTTGTCTGTGGCGCTTTTGGCGCTACCGGCGCTTCTCTTGTACCTATACTATGCACTCAGCTATCGCCGGCTGAAGCAGTACGCTCACTTCCCTCAGCTGAAGCCTTCGGTGGTATGGGGTCATCTCAAGGCCATAAACGAACATCATGTGAAGCGCAACGAGAAGGACTCTCAACTCGGTACGATTTAGCGAGGGCGACACGTGGTGTTGTGTAGGCTGATCTAGGTTTTGCAGATCCCACCATGGGAGATATGCTCGAGGAAATCGGTAATCCTCCCATCATGCTTCTCGACCTTCGTCCAGTCAGCCGGCCTCTGCTGGTCATCCGAAGCCATGAGATCGCGGAGCAGGTATCAAGACAATCAAAGATGTGGCCCTACAGCGCACCGAAGTCCGACACCATGATGTATCTCACACCGCTGCTAGGTGAGAAGTCAATCGTAATGTCTCAGGTAAGGGATTTCTTTGCATTTTCCCAATCTGTTACCTTTTCGCAGATTGTGGATGCGAAAACAGTTCGTTAGAACGTGGCTTTAACGTGTAAACTTCCTGCAGGGCTCCGGATGGAAAGACATGAGAAAACACTTCAACCCTGGCTTCGCTCCCCAGCACCTCATGAGTCTCATGCCAGTGATCTTAGAAAAGACACAGACTTTCCTCGCAAAACTTGACGAACTGGTTGTTACGGGTGAGGAGTTTGAGCTGGAGCCGTTGTGCACTAATCTTACGTTCGATATCATTGGTAAGTCTCATCAAGTTCCTGTTTTTACAGCAACCTCATCAAGAACTGACCAACAGGCGCCGTGACGATGGATGTTGATCTCAATGCACAACTTCCAGAAGATCAACAGGGAGACTTCATTAAGGGGTACAAGGAGTTCTTGACCTCGTATAGGGAGGGCAGTGGTATACTCAAGTGGTGGGAGAATCCGCAGCTGGGCAGGAAACGAAGGCGACTTGCCAAGTCTTGCAATGTCTTCCTCGAGGATGTCATTCGTCGCAAATTCAATGATGTGAAGCAGGACAAGCGGTCATCTAGCCGCAGTATTCTAGCTCTCAGCTTGAAAGACACGCAAGTCTTGACACAGGATATCATCGACGGGACAAAGGATCAACTGAAGACTTTCATGTTCGCAGGGCATGATACCACCAGCATCCTCTTGCAATGGGCCTTTTACGAGTTATCGCGGACGCCCCGAGCAAGGAAGAGCCTTCGAGCCGAACTAGAGAGCCTCTTTGGTCAGGACTTGAGCCCCGAAGTTGTCCGAGAAGCTCTACTCGCTAGGGGCGAGGAGATCACACAGAAGATGATCTACACCTCGGCAGTCATCAAGGAGATTCTGCGCCTGTACCCACCAGCCGGAACTGCGCGCCTCTGTCCGCCGGGCGCAAACTTCCACCTGCAGTTGCCAGACAACAGCAGCCTCTGCGTCGATGGGATGGTCCTGTACAACTGCGCCACTCTCATCCAGCGAGACCCTGACGTTTACGGAAGTACCAAAGATGATTTTGTACCCGAGCGATGGCTCGGAAACACGGACACGTCGATGGCGACGAACGACGATGAGAAGATGGGCATCGGTAAAGCTGGCGAGAACGAAATTCCTGCCGCGGCATGGAGACCCTTTGAGAGGGGTCCTAGGAACTGCATCGGACAGGAACTTGCCAACATCGAGGCCAGAGTGATTTTGGCTAGTGTCGTTGGCAAATATGTGTTTGAAAAGGTCGGTCTAGGAGAGGCTACGCTGGACGAGAAGAACCGCCCCATCATCAATGAAAAGGGGCAATACAGGTCCAATACACAGCTTTACAACGTAAGTCTTCCGTTTGGAGAATTGTCCAACGGTACGCCTCACTAATACCTTACAGACGAGACAAATTACGGCCCGACCGGTTGACAACATGAGGGTCCGAGTGAAGCATCAGGACCCAACGAGAGCCTGAGATGTTACGGAATCGTTGACGAGGTCTAGAAACAGCTAGTCTGCCGTGTAAGCAGATACTGAACTATCGAGGCGTCAGCTTGGTGTTAGTCTGGTGTTTTGACAATGCCAGAAATTATATACATACATGAGTTCAAGTTTGTTTGGTTAGAGATATGTTCATAAACTGTATCACGATTCCTCGACTTATGATTTCAGCGTCTAGGCGCCAGGAACTTCATCTCGTTTTACAGAGCGTTGAATGGTGAACTCTACTATTGGACATTTGACATTGAATTTGGAATACAAACTGGCCCTGGATCTCACTCATAACGTAACATGAACTTAGGTGTAAATTGTACTTGAGAGATAAACTGAACTGAACGCTCTAAGCTTGGATATATGATTTGAAATCTCACTCAAAATATCCAACATGCTTCATTGACACGAGCAAGACCTGATTGGTGGAAGGGTCAGAAGTGTGGCTGGTACATGCAAGAACGGCTCATTTTCTGTGGCGCATGGCATAGGTTGGTCCTGCAGGTTGACCTAGGTTGCCACAGGGCAGGTGGGTCACGCTTGGAGACCAGCGGCAGCGACAGCGACAGCTACCAAAGCTCCCCACAGCAGCGTCATTGGAGCGCGAGGCACCGACGTAAATCAACAACCACCGTTGCGCTCACGCTTGCCGACCTTGCCTTTCTCACAATTTGCTGTCGCTAGGAAATGTAGCCATGGCCTTTCAGGTTTGTTTGCAAGCCCCCATCAAGCTGCTCTCTGCGAGCCGACGTACACTAACGATCTCTGCTGAAGTGGAAGGCATTCGACTTCTTCGACGTCAGCCAGGTCCGGCTCGCCGATGAGGAGACCCGAGTCTTCTTCGAGAGCAACGAGATCGCTAGTGTCTGCTCCGGTTCCGACAGCCTATTTCTCGGTAGCTACGATGGATACGTTCGAATTGTCGGGTCGAGTTGGAAGGTGGTGAAGAGCTTCCAGGCTCACGAGCTCGGGACGATCACACACATGCGCCAGATCGAGGGAACAAGCCTGCTTGTTACAGTTGCCGTAGGTGGACGCAGCAATCGCGAGATATCGAAAATACGAACTGACACAAGAGCAGGAGGACCTCAGTAGCGAGCCGGTGTTGAAGATCTGGGCTCTGGACAAGCTGGTGAAGAAGACCAACATGCCGACTTGTTTAAGCACTTTGCAGATCAACAATGGCAGGAAGCAATTCCCGGTAAGGGACGACTCGAGCGCATATCCACAAAGCAATCACTAACCACTTGTTATCCAGATCTCGGCTATCGACGTGCTCGACAACCTTACCCAAGTAGCAGTCGGCTTCGCGAATGGCACGGTGACCCTGATCCGAGGCGATTTGATCAACGATCTGGGGGCGAAACAAAGGACGGTACACGACTCAGAAGAACCTATCACAGGCGTGGAGCTTATGACGGATTCCCAAGATGTCACAACTCTGTTTATCTCTACAACAGCCCGAATTCTGAAGCTTGGAATCTCGAGGAGGGGTCACAGCTCTCCGCCCAAGACTGTTGAAGATATGGGGTGTCACGTTGACTGTATGACGGTTGACAAGAAGACAGGAGACGTGGTAGTTGCCCGAGAGGATGCCATCTACACCTACACCTTGGAAGGTAGGGGAGCGCCGCGTGCGTACGAATCGCCGAAAAGACTAGTTTCGATCTACCAGGATTACGTTGCCCTGGTATGCCCACCATCGGCCTCCACTACCGACAAAGGCAACGACACTATGCGCCGCCGCTTTGGAGGAGGTGGTGGAGCAGCGGATGCGCTCTTCAACGCATCGACGTTCGTTCTCCTAGAGCCAGACCTCAGAGTGCTCGGCCACACGCAGTCTCTGATCTCGCCATTCAAAGCCATCTTTCAAATCTGGGGCGATCTGTTTGTTCTCACACAAGACGGCAAGGTCAACCGATACCACGAAAAGTCACTGCAACAGCGCCTAGAAATGCTGTACCAGCGCAACATGTACCCCTTGGCCATTGAACTCGCACAGAAGTCACGGCTGGATGCGACACAGCAGAGCGGCATCTTCCGACGCTTTGGCGATCATCTCTATCAAAAAGCTGATTACGACGGTGCCATGGTCCAATACATCAAAGCGATCGATACTACCGAGCCATCGCAGGTCATCAGAAAGGTAGGCTTCCGCACCCGGAAGGAATGAAGCGCAGGAAGACTAAGAATCGCAGTTTCTCGATACCCAAAGGATACACAACCTGATCCAGTACCTCGAGCAATTACACGAGCATCGCAAGGCAACGTCCGATCATACTACACTACTCTTGAACTGTTATGCCAAGCTCAAGGATATCGATAAGCTGGAGGCATTCATCAAGTCACCCGGTGATTTGAAGTTTGACCTCGAGACTGCTATCACCATGTGTAGGCAAGGAGGCTACTACGAACAAGCTGCATACCTGGCCAAGAAGCACGGCGAAATCGAACTGGTCGTGGACATCCTGATAGAAGACTCCAAGCTGTATAACGAGGCTCTTGATTTCATATGGCATCAAGACCCAGAAGTGGTGAGTGCCATGCTTCTCCACCATTTTGACTGATTCTGACAATGAAATAGGCATTTCCTTGCCTCAAGAAGTACGCCAGAGTTCTGATAGAGAACTGTCCAAAAGATGCGACCACAGTTTTCGTGGACTACTACACTGGCAAGTATCGTCCGAGGCTACACTTTGTGCCGATTGAAGACAATGGAGAGGCTGTTGTATCCGGCGGCATGGTGGCCGGTGCAGCAAGTGCCGTCCAAAATCTTTCCAACTTTTTACCTCTGCCATACATGAACACATCTTCCCTCCAAAGCCCATCCACACCGGGCAATGGAACAGCCATCAACGGCGATGCTCAAATCATATTGAACCCTGACGACATTCCTGCGCCGAAATATACTCCACCACCTCCAAGGACGGCTTTCTCATCCTTCATCGACCACCCAGACGAGTTCATTGTCTTCCTGGAGGCATGCCTGGAAGACACAGGTATCAAAGAAAGCGATAGGACAGACCTGTACACCACACTTTTTGAGATGTACCTACACAAGTCAAATGAGAAGAAGGGGGAGCAGCATCGGGAAGAGTGGGAGGGCAAGGCGAAGAAGCTCATTGAAGGGGAAGACATTCCGATGGAGAGTTCCAACGTCCTGCTGCTTTCGCACCTTTCTGATTTCAAAGACGGCACAACCCTAGTCAAGGAGCAATCCGGCTTACTCTTTGACATTTTCCGGTCGTACACCTCAGCCAAAGATACCCGCGGAGCCATCAAAGCCCTTCGAAAGTATGGACCCGAAGAACCGCAACTGTACCCGGCAGCCCTGGCATATCTGACTTCCGACCCCCGAATTCTCCGGGAAGCCGGGTCAGAAGAGCTCTCTGCTGTCCTTAACAAGATTGACAAGGATGGTCTCATGGCGCCGTTGCAGGTCGTCCAGACCCTAGTCGGCCAGTCCGGTTCCTCAGGCGGCGTCGCGACAATGGGCATGATCAAGCCTTACCTCCACGAGACGATTGAGCGCGAGCGCAAGGAGATTGCGGCCAACCGGCGCCGCATATCGGCCTTCCGCAGCGAGACGGAACAGAAGCGGGCCGAGCTTGCCGACCTCGGCTCCAAGCCGGCCGTGTTCCAGTCGACGCGCTGCGCCGTCTGCACGGCGCCCCTCGACCTGCCCGCGGTACACTTCCTTTGCAAGCACAGCTTCCACCAGCGGTGCCTCCGCACCGAGGGCGAATGTCCACAGTGCGCTAACGATAACGCGACGATCCGCGCGCTGCGCAAGACGCAGATTGAGACGGCGGGGAAGCATGAGCTGTTCAAGGCCGAGCTGGAGCGCAGCGAGGATCGGTTCGCGACGGTGGCTGAGTGGTTTGGTCGCGGCGTCATGGGAGCGCCTAATGCCGACACTGCGTAGGTGGCCGTTTCCTTCCTAAGGGTTGGGTCGCCGCGAAAGGAGAGTTACTCGGGGTTTGGAGCGTAGGCGTGTTTCTAAATGTGGACTTTGAAGGACTGACTACTCGCGGTTCGTCTCAAGTTTGATGTCTTGGAAGTTAGCCTTGGGCTGTAGTGGCTATGATTGTGGTGGTGAGGTGTTGATGGAGAGGGATCGATGAACACATTGAGGGGAAAAAGATCGAGCTACTCTGTTTGTATCGCGTAATTACTGCCATCATCATAAGGTCATGCCCTTTTCTCTTCATGGGGTAGACTCGCTAGACAAATATCAGATTCCCCATTAGTATGAAGGATTTTGGGGCGGGTTGTTCGTTTAGTGACGTGGATTGCAGTAGCATGCGTGGCGACTAGGAAGCTACGGTAAGGTAGTCTCTGGTGGAGGATTTTGATGGTCAGTTTTTTCTGGCCACCATAACAAGACTTTTTTTCATGCTGGTTTGATTTGATTTTTGTTTGATTCCCGAACTGTCTTGTATCCCGGCACAATAAACTGATCTAAATGGACTGCTTCAACCAATGATGATGTTATAACGCAGTCAGTTATGAACAAGACTACCAAGGTACGACAAACGCAGCGCAGACATAACAGATCACAAGTACAACATCAATAACAAAGCACTCATCTTTCATGATGTTAAGAAGTTTGTTCATCGCTTCTATTCATTCACAGACGAATCTTCCCGTCACCTCTCTTTCGCTATCTGTGGTTGTATTTGGGGTGTGTACATGCAAGATTTCCTCCACAAAAAGGGCGCCAAGAAACAATAAGCGCCGTCCCGTCTGGGCGATAGTCCCAGATGATCAACCTCCCCCCTCTGGTATTACAAACACAACCCCCTCCCGAAACCTCGCTGCCGATGCTAGATATAAAAAAAATGTCTTCAAGCTTCTTGGGGTGTGGAAATGATGAACAGGCATGACTATAGACCCCTGTTCAAGTCTGACTTGCCCCGCTGCCCTCACCTCCCGCTGCAGACAAATGAAAAAGCATAGAGGAAGAGTCTAATCGTCGATGCATCCTCCTCTGTCCCATAACCCCAAAAGTCTCCCCTATTGGCTGATTGCCCCCATCCTATCTCCCTCCCGTAGTCCCCTCCGTCATTTCTCCTGCATTCATAGCCACGTGTCGTCGTCGTCCCAGTCTGCTCTGATGATTCATCCGCCAACCACAGTGGCAAGTGAAAGAGAGAGAAGCGTCAAAGCGAAAGACTGCCACCATTGCAGTTCTTCTCTATATGTAAAGGAAGCGCGCTCGAATCGAAACTGACAGCACAAACGTGCTAGCAGGAAATGTGCAATCTGATTGCATGCTGTTCTTGGGATATGCTTTAAGCAAGAAAATGGATGGTGTTCAAGCATTTAAC